GCAAAAAAGGAACAAGCGCCAATAAACATAACTTCATCTTATCTTATGAGTGTATAAGGATACTCATAGAAGATGTATAGCGCATAGGATTTAGAAAGAGAAATAAAGATAGATAAGAAAATTTAGAAAATTTCTCCCATTTTGTTTGAAAAGAAATTGTTATTTTTGTACAATAAATCCTGTCCTGCAACAAAGGAGAAAAGTGGACTGTCCTATTTCCCAAATGATCCTATTGTCACTATCTATAAGTATGTGAAAGGATGTCACAAAGAAAAAGGTCAAGACCTATGCCCTGCCATTCCAGAGTACTGGATTAAAGGAAGGTAGATTTTGAATGAATGTTGCGGGGGGGGGGGAATTGTGCATCAGTAACAGGAGTTTACATTAGACCCAGTTCACCAAAAGATATGGCGGCTCTACTTTGCTAAATATGTTCAACCAAAGTCTGGATAGTTATCTGACAGGGTTGCTTTAATTGGGATTCTTGTTCTGATTAGGAAGTTAGATTTGATTACTTAAATGGGCCCTTCCAATTTCTATGCTGCTTTCAAGCATCAAACATTCCAACTTCCCAATCTTTTTTGATGCTTTATGTTTGGCATCCAACATATATATCTATACATTGTTTCTTCTTTCAAGAGTATTTTGTATGTTCGTTTCCTTCTAATGCCTTTTTACTTATTTCACAATTTGTGAAATACTGAGTTTCTATATAATTTTTACATATCCCAATTGAATATTCTTAACCATTTATCTCATCATTTAGGGATGAATTGTCCTGACAAAATGCTCCTCAGCTCCCTTTGGCTTTCCCCCAAGAACCTGGTTAAATGCTTCACTTCAATCTTTCTGATATTAAATATGAACAGTTTGGGTCCCTTGCAATTAAACAGCAACCCAACCCATTTTGTACAAGTCTGGGTCTTGTAACTGCATGTTGAAATGAGATTAACCCTTTCTTTATTTTCTTCAAAATATCATTTTAAAGAATAGCAAGGAATTATTTAATCGGAGCCAAATCCATCTAACCCGGATGCATCAATGACAGGCCTGCACCACATGTGGCCTACCACGCAGACTTGTGCAGCCCACCAACATTTCTTAAAAACTCAGTAAGTTCACCGCCGCCAGGACACATCCACCGCTGCCACCACCCTCCCCAAAGACGTGCTGCCAAGTGCCTCCGGTCCCTCCAGGCCTCACCGCCACCACCAGTTCCAAAACTGCTGGCACTTTGCTAGCTGCCAAACAGCTGATAGGTGTCCCAGTTATTCTTTTGCGACCCACAATTATTTTTAATTTATCAATATGGCCCTTTCCCTCCTACACGTTCTGTAGACCTGATCTATACTAAATGGTAGCATCACTTCAGATTTTTTTTCCCACTTACACTCTTTTTCTGAAGTGTATAGCCTTCTTGCACTAGATATACATGGGAATTTACTTTAAAAGGAAAGCATGGATTTGAAAAGGCTGACATAAAAACATGTATCAGAAGATACGGCTTCCCTTTTTAAGTTTATTAATGATCAGCAACTCCAATCCTTGCTTTCCATACACCATTCCAATACAGGTCCTATGCAGGTCTAAGTTTGGAAGGGGGACCAGGACAAACATGCTCTTTCCCATCCACTTAAAATCCCATCCTTGTCAACATGAGGAAGCTGTAATAAAAAGATGTGAGGACCATTTTCATATGTCTGAAATGGGGCTATAATATAAATGAACCAGCCGTTAACAAATAAATATTAATCCATAACTTAAATATCAAGAAGCCAACACATGAACACCAATCTAGTTGAAGCAAACATTTAAGAGATCCTTGTCAGAGTGTACATGCATTGTAAATTATTTTGAACTTTACATTTTCTGCTTGCTTCCCCACACGTTTTTTAAAACATGAGTAAGAAAATATGGTGTTAGAACTTGTCCTCACAGCTTCTTTTTCCAGTCAGCCTCAAGGAGAATATGTGCTAAACAAAAGGTAACAGAGAGGCAGAAAATATTTCTTATATTTTTATATTTTCAGGGAAAGAAAGTTCCCTTCGTATCCACAGTATAAAACTGTAATTTATCAGAATATAGACCTTTTTTCTTTTCTTTTTTTCTTTTTG